AAATTTTATATTTTATATTTATATAAATTTTGAGATTATTTATTATTTATTTTTAATAATTAAGATTTATTATGATTTTTTAAATAAAAATAATTGATTAAGGATAGTAATTGAAAGTAATTGATAGCAACTGATTTTTTTATATATATATACTTTTATATGTGAATTAGTTAAGGATATTATGATAAGAGAAGTTCATTTTACAATTTGAGTGTAAAATAGAGACTATTAATTGAAAGAAAACCTTAAGAGACTCAATAATAAATGTTATACAATATAATATAGTTTGAATTGCACAACGCATTTTCTTTCTGTCGATTCACTAGCCGGACTATAGTTTGAAAGTGGTTCAATTAGGAACTGTTGAATCGATGCCAGCATCTGCCCTTCTGAAAAGGCTTGATGATGGTATTCAAGATCAACGATGGGAAAACTTTTCTTTTTCAGAACCTGTTTCTTAATTTTCTTAATCAAATTCCCTTGTTTGGTCTGAAGTTTAATTATTGGCTGGGTGCTTGAGTGGTCTAGAAAAGTGTCCCTGAATCAGAAGACCAAAGATTGTTATGGAAAAATCATATGCCGGCTTTTTTCCAAACTTTGCTAAGGCCCGTATGCAAAGCAAGCAATGTGGGGAAGGTCCGGGCCTTACCCAGAATGACTCGTTAAAAATGAATTAGAAAAAGCAATTTCTATGCAGAGTTCTTTTGGACTGCTCCAGGAAGGATTGTTTTGAACCCTTGCACTTTAATGCATATAAAATGCATATAAATGGGAAACAGCGGATATACTTGCAATCTTAATTATTTTGCAATGAAATCTCGTAATAATTGTTTACACCTATTTTTGCAAATAAATTAGAAGTCACATGTCCTATTTATTCTGAATTTGAAGGAGTTAAAATGCGTTACCGGCAACTACCATGTGGTGGTCTCATTAACTGAGTCAAGCTCAATGACTAAATTTTCTCCAATATCAACGTAAATATTTGTTGTCACATTATCGACAAAGCAGCTCAGTGGTTGCATACTTTTAGGAGCCTAATCGATGGTACCAACAAGTTAGGCGGCTTGTTGTAGATTTTACATTGCCATTATTTTTCAAGATGCTGCCAATAGAACTCTACCATGCTACTAAGGTGCCATAAATACCTAATGATGAGATTAAGTAAACAAAACTTGCCTTTCACACAGCAAGGTTAACACTATCTACATTTCAATTTTCACAAGTAATATCTTAATTTAAATCTATCTTTATCAAATAACTTCCCTAATTTAATCTTTAGCTCTACACTGCTATTAGCTTTAACTGTAATTTTTGTTATTTCGTTTTAAACATCTCTAATGGTGTATTTGATTTTCTGCCATTTAATTTACTGCATTTTGCTCTAACTTCATCTGCTTAGCTTTCTTTAAGTTTAGTTTTATGCTTTAGCCTTTATTTCATTCTTTGTGGTTACATGCTTTTGTGGCAGCATTATGCTTTTTTCCTGCAATTTAGTTTTCCTACCATGCACTCTCTTTATTCTCTTTTACTTTATTTTTCTCTTTTATTCTAATCAACACACTAACATTTTGTCCATAGTTGTGAGAAGTCCCTGATGTTCCTTTAGGCTACAATTATTCATGGACCTTTATATAAAAATGCACCTTCGTTTCTGTGACAATCATTTGACTAAAGCACATCTCATAATTTATTTAATCGATGCTCTTTCATCAACTCGCAACTAAATTCCACACTTAGAAGTAATTGCGATCGCTGAAAATGCCTATTTCTCACTTTGAATAAAATGAGTTGCACACCTTCGTAATCCTATTTACTACGTAGCTAAAAGGAAAACTTTGAAGACAACAATAATCATATGGTATTAATAAATATATGCATCTCAAATCATCAAACCTATTAAATGAAACGACCTCGTGAATACTACAGATACATGAAATTATAAAACTTCAATGTAAAATAAGATTGTATGCATCATTTTCAATTGGCAAACTGATTAAACTAAATCAATAATGTTAATCTTAGGCACTGATTATTCTCTTCTCTTTCTTATTCTATTCTTATATATAGCATCAAACAAGAGAAAAGAAAAACTTTGTATTCTTTTCCTTTCCTCCCCCTCCTTCGACCTTTTTTTTTTTTTTCTTCTTTTTCTTTTGTCTACTTTGTTAGCATGTCCTAGAAATAAACCAACTCTGATCTATTGTCCTCACACAGCAAACCCTTGCTGCTATATAATGTATATTCTTCTCTTTCCTAATTAGTTCTTCATTACTGACCAAGGAAAAGGAAAAAACTTTCTCTTAAATATTCTCTGATGTTCTTTCTCTCTCTCTCTAGTATCATGTATTGTAGATCTTATCTATTATCGTTGTTTGATTAAGGAATGATTATTTTTATTCAGTGCAAAATGACCTTACACCTAAAGGCAATTAATGTCCCTATATTTCGAAATTTCCTTTGTCAAGATCGTAATTTATACTACATATTTGTCCCTTAGCATCCTGTACTTCAGATTTTTCTACATTATCATACATAGAATTACATTATGGATATATATATATATATATAATAATCTTGGGTTATATAATGAGAGATTACTTTTTCTCAATCTCTTCGCTCACCTGATTTGTAGGCCATGCAACTTAAATTTAAAATATTTTACTTCTAGTAAAAGAAAATTAATTACATTATGGATTTGGTTATCCATGATCATTGACCAACAGCCGTTAAATTTTGCGATTAAGGTTAAGGGCTTACGGGCCGGGTTTAAAACAAATTTTCCTTATCAACATTTGTGAGACCCAACCCACATCCCCGTTATAAAGTCTAAAGCCCCAAAGCCCAAAGCCAATTCCTTCCGGCCCGAAGCAGTCACGTGAGAAGAAGGGTGACACGTGACCG